GAGCCACACTGATAGATGCGATAAAGCTCCTGCCAGATCTGATTGATGACAGCACTAGGAAATGCTGTGAAGGTCACACTGTAATTCTCTCTTTGCAGCTGCTCCTGGTAAGAAATGGTACAGCAAAATAAAACCTGGATCTGCGAATCACTAGTAACAGGGAAAGACCATCCTTACCTTGCCTTCTCTTCTCTTCCCTTCCAGTTTTCAACAACAGGAATGCCATAAGCATGTGTAACCAATGAGACACTAGGTAAGTTTCAGAGAGATACTTAAACATACTTTAATGGACAAAAGAAAAAATCCAGCCACAGCAACTGGCCAAATACTGGGCCTTTATACATTTGAAGACAGTCCATAGTAGTTTAGCATGAAAGCTGGATATTAAAAGAGCGTTTACTATTTGCCTCTCTGCAAAACCCAGATAACATACCACAACATATTCTCTGGGAAGGAGCGCTCTCTCTGATAATGTAAATACATGGATTGAGCATCTTTTCCAAAGTCCATTAATTGTAAATGAACCAAGCAAGCATGCTCATTAAAACTGGCTAGCAGCAAATTCAGCAAGCCAGAACATGAGTCAGTCAAGTAGGACACCAAAATCTTGTTTTCCATAAATGTTTAGATGTGACTAGGACACGGGTAAGAGACTTCAGGGAATTCACAAACATGATATAATGACAGTCCCCTAATGAATAATATATATTTAGTGCAACTCATAGCAATTACCTCACATACACAAAGTGCTGCATTTCTTGGGGGTAAAATGCTGTTATCTTTGAGACATGAGCTACATTACAGATTAAACCACTTGTGTACTCTTTTCTGGCACTTTCTATTAATGAATGGAAATATTTTTATTCAGCACTTTGTACTCATAAAGATTCTGGCACAATAAGGCCATTACCAACATCTGTCCCAGAGAAAGACAGCCTTTATCACTCAGCTCAAAAATACATGATGGCAGAGAGATGCTGGCAGCAGAAGTCCCCCAGATAGTCAAAAAATCTCACCACTATGTCACCATGAAAGGAATAATGCACAGATTTTTTTAAAAAGGTTTATTTCTTTTTCACGTTAGGAAAGACATTTAAAGAAGACAGTTCTGTTCAGTTTTGCTTATTTTACTGCCAAACACACACAATCAACTTTTAACACATCACTACATGTGAAGAGCAGTATCTATACAAAATCAAACCTATAAAGTCCTCTTAGGAGTTTCTTTTCTAAATTTCCTGAGGGACACTGGTAAAATATACAGCAGATATTGATTCATCCTTTTCACAGCCTAGTGCATTCTTCCAGGGCTATTCTAAGAGAGCTGATCACCATCAGCTCATTTGGACATTGCTGTGTGTTCAGGGCGCTCAGCACCTTCAGCAGTCAAACCTTACTGTGCAACATATGTCATGACTGACTTTCTGGTAAGGTGGCAGAGGGGTAACGAATGGCTGACAATGCTATTTTTCTGCCATGCAGGACTGCACTTGTTACCACGTCTAGAAAACAGGGCTTATGTCTCAAAAGATTCATTTGTTATATGCTGGGAGATACTCCCCTTTCCACAAAACCCAGTTATGTTCCTGCAATACTACTGATTAGCATTGATAGCATCAGCACGTGTTTCATGATCTGGAGAGTCAAGAGTTAACTTTTAATCAAAGAGTAAGAGCAATTTAACCTATACATAGTATATTACAGTGCTGTTGCATATGCAATACAAATAGAAGACCTTCACGTATACGTAGATGAGTAGGTGCAGTCCAACATTTATGCTGGTGTAACCCCTACACACCGCTTTTACAGTCACCCCCGTGCAACTGCACCTACGTGCTTTCCTACCTGGTCATAGTGCTGACAGACTATTCTGGGTATTGCTTTATACAGACACTCCCCCAAAAGACATCTGATATGATATTAAAAATTTAAATTTGGTCTAAATCCAGCTTAGGATGTATCATAATAGAAAAGCTAACTTCATAAATTTCAATAGATAACCTTAATAGATGTAGAATAGGAGTACATGCGAGACTTAGCTTTTTCATTCTTGGTTCAGAGTTCACAGTAACTCTGTAGTCCTTTGGTTGACTTCCATTATTTTGGTTGTGTTTGACTACTGGAGTTCAACTGGGAGCCTAAGAACATTCTATATTAGCGTATATTAACCTGGAATACTATCTATTGAGTAACACACTCACCTGCCCAACCCAGACAGTTCCCATGCCAGATGAAACACTGTGTTTGTCAATAAACTGATGAATCAGAGGAAACTCAGAGTCATGCCAGTAGCTAGGTGTCATTCACATCTAAAACAAGTTGAATTGCCTAACTGGAAAGGATGCATACATTTTTTGAAAAGTTTACACAATAGGCTTTAGTGTGACTAAAACCATAAGAGCATAGAGTGAACTAAATTGTACGGGAGTTTGGAAGCATAAGTCCTTGCATCCCACCCTCCCACTTCAGCAAGAGATCTCTTGCAAATGAATATAAAACACATCCATTTCTCCTCCTCACCCCTCCGTGCAAAACAAAGAGCGCAGCTCTGAACAATGCAGTTAACCAGGCAGGCTCCTGGATACCATACTCCCATTGACTGACCTATCAGATACGAAACTTTTTAAAATGGACGGAAATTAAATCGGCCGACTCCAGATTGCATCAATCATCCCTGAACCGCTGGCTTTTTGTCCTAGGGCAATATCTCAAGGAAGTCGGCAGGGAGCAGCAGGGCAAGACAATTCCTGATCTGACCTTACAGCAGGTTCTCTCTGCACCACTGAAAGGAATAGCACAATTAGTCACATGTATACCAAATACAGCCTGCCCCCACTGACATTTTAATTATTAGTTTTTTAATGTCTCTGACAGTACTTCAGGAGATGAAAATTAAAAACTCTCCACTAAGACTGTAAGATTTCAAAATAGTGTGAGTGGCTGACCTACTGAAGTGTTACTGCATTTTAGCCATCCTTGCTAGCACTGCTTCAAGAAACACTGCAATTTCAACCCACAGATCTTCCAATTCCCTTCATCTAAAAATCTACCCAAGACCCAGGAACACTACTTAACACTCTGAATTCTGCTGATATATTTCCTGGGAAATATCAAACTGTGCCACATATCACCAAAGGCAGTGAATATCCGCTATTGTTCTGTGTGCAAGCTTGTCACCGCGATCACTGGGTATCCAGACACACAAAGAAAACTGCAGATGCTTCTCTTCAGAATCCATTTCAAATTCTTCTTAAGCCCTATAGCTGCAGAAAGGCAGGACTGTTCTCCCTCCAGCTCTAATGCAGGATCTGCTCCTCTTCCACCCCAGTTCCAAAAGGAAAAATTGATTGTTCAAAAGAACGTAATTGTGCAGCTCTTCCTATGGAAACCACCAGGAGGCATAAGGGATGTCTGAAGGGCACCAAGTGCCCATGTAGGAGAGGGCTGATGGATGGATCCATCTGGCTGCCAAGCTGTTCCCTTGTCACCCTGCACCAACCCTCCCCAGAGAAGCAGAGAAAAAGAACTTCATAATACTGCTATTTTCGTGAAAGAAAGAAGTGGTCCTGTAACACCCAGGGCAAATGGCAACAGAGCACCTGTGAGGGTGACATACCAGTTAAGGAAAATACTTCTGAGAGCCGAACCAAGCCATGCTGTGACATTTATTTCCCCATGGAACAAAACAAAGAACTGCACAAAGAACAACAGAATCCAATGGCTTAGGAAGCCCTGGACTGCAGTACAATATTTAATTAGATCTTTCTGGCTTTGAGATGTATTATTTTATAGTCGGATATCCGCTGAAAAGATCAGTCATTGTAAAGGTATAATAAATAAAACAGGCAAGGACACACCAAGTGTTTGCATCAAACTGATCACATAGTATCCAGAGGGGAGATTAGCTATATACTTCTCTGTTCCTGACATCTGTCTTGTCGTGTCTTTCGGAAGTGTGTGTTCACTCTTTTACACTGCCTTTCTGAGCAGGTGAACACCTTGGTTTCTGAGGGATGCCTGCCTGAATCCATTCACCTCCTCTGTAGTTTATAAAGCGACGCCTGCTTTGGGCTGTTTATCTGGCTCTTTTGCTGCCTATTATTTTCCTACCAGCTAAATCTCTGGCAAGTTTCCCTTATCCCCCCGGCCACAAGACACATAACACGCATAGAACCGACAACGTTAAAACTATTTCTCAAAAAACCCTCAGTGGAAGAAATCAAAATACGTCGCTGTGAACTGAACCACCGCCTACCAATCGCAGGCTGCTTTTTAGTTTTAACCTCTCTGTTAAACAGGAAATAAAAAGGAGGGGGTCGGATGGGGAAGCCAGTGGGACAGATCGGGAAGGATGGTTCTTTTTGCCTTTGACCTCAATGAAGCCGGGACTGTAACATGATGCAATCCCTCGGCTATGATGAAACGGGTTCAAATGGCAAAGTCTGGAGAGAGACCACTTCTTCCCACCCGAAAAGGCAGACAATAATGAACCTCTCAGCTGTACAAAGTAGCCCCGCCGCTGGTGCCTTTCCCCGGGAAGGGATGCAGGTTTCGGGATGGCAAAGAGAGGCTGTCACTCCGGAGGAGCTCAGCCGGATTCCTGCCCTTTGGAAGCCCGGGCACGGGCCGCGCCGCGCTGCCGGGGCCCGGCGGGGAGCCCAGGGGGGCGGCAGCCGCCGGAGCTGCCGCCGCCTGATGCTCGGGCTCCTTCGCAGCTTTTTCCATGTGGCTTCTCCCAGCCAAGAAATCGAGCGGGACATTTTATTTTTTTCTTAGCTTTTTTTTTTTTTTTTTTTTTTTTTCCAGTAAGCCCGCAGCTTTCCTAGCACGGGGCTGCCTGGAGCGGCAGCGGAGCCTCGGCAGGAAAAAGCCCCTTTCTGAATCCAGCCCTTCCCCTCCCTCCTCTATCCCCCTCTTTTCCCTGCCCGCCCGCGGAGCTCGGGAGAGGGATGGTGCCTGGAGCGGGAGGGGAGCGAGCGGGGCCGCGGGACTCCTCCTACCTTTCCGGCCGTCCTGCCGCGGCTGCCGGCACAAAGCGGGCTCCGCGCAGCAGCGGAGGCGGGCGCAGCTCCGGACGCGCAGCACCGCGGAGCGCAGCCAGCACCGCGCCGCGCTGCGCCGCGCCGGGGGCGGGGAGAGACGGGACTGGGCGGGAGGGAGGCATCGGCCCGCCCGGCCCACGGGCCCGCAGCCCCCGCCCCGCGGGGAGGGGACAGGGCCGGGGCGGAGCGAGAGGAACAAAGGCGGCGGGGGGCGCGGTGTGGCTCCGCAGCATCCCCCGGGTATGGGGCGGGAGGGGGTTGAGGTGGCTCCGCAGCATCCCCCGGGTATGGGGCGGGAGGGGGCCGGTGTGTGCGCAGCATCCCCCGGGTATGGGGCGGGAGGGGGCCGGTGTGTGCGCAGCATCCCCCGGGTATGGGGCGGGAGGGGGCTGAGGTGGCTCCGCAGCATCCCCCGGGTATGGGGCGGGAGGGGGCTGAGGTGGCTCCGCAGCATCCCCCGGGTATGGGGCAGGAGGGAGCCGGTGTGTGCGCAGCATCCCCCGGGTATGGGGCGGGAGGGGGCCGGTGTGTGCGCAGCCCCCGGGCAGGGGTGCCCCGAGGGGCGCAGCGTTCCCCCCGGGCAGGACTGGGCGAGCCGAAGTGCCCCCCTACGAGGCAGACGCCGGGCAATGCAAACCCGGGCTTCCCGACCCCGAGTACAGCATCCTCGGTGGATGGAGGCTTTTCCCCCGAGTAAATGCTGAAATATTGCGGTACCATACCTGGAGCTTCAGCACAATCAGGTACTACTATTATCACGTATCACACCGGGAGCTTCAGTCCATCCACCTCCTTCCCATTTATGCCCAGGAGATGCTGTAGCTCTCGCATTCAGCTGCGGGGGGAAAAATCCAAAGCGCAGAACTGGAGCGCGCATAGCACATTGCCATTTATCTAGTCACAACTTGAGCCCTTTTGTTAAAACGGTGTAAAACCATGCACAGACCCAAGATGGATTTAAAACTGTGTTCCATCATCTTAGTTTAACTTGATACAAACCAGATTTACATCAAGAGCGTAAGGTGAGACAGTTTATGGTGATTAAAATTTATATTGATTAAAAGTGCCCTCCAAGATCTTAAAGCAGGCTTCAGTTTTTAACAAAATCATAGTTTGGACCATTGCAAACTTGCATACAGACAAGGTCAGTAATCATGCTCTAACTCTGACAAGTTTATGTATTTATTTTCTTCTCTGTCCATAAAGGAATAGGAAAACTTAGGTCACAGAGGACTGTTACTACAGGAAGAACGTTACTTAAGGCAACAATATTTCTTCATCTTTAGCCCAGCTGGGTGATAGAGCATGTTTTCTTTTACTTCAACTGTAACAGTTGGATGCACAAATGTTCTCTTGTGACAAGCATTTGTGGAGCATTCTACATGCAAGTTCACCATTCTGTACAAACTTGTAGCTTACATTGTTGTACATCTTAATGCATACAACTCATTAAGCAGCTTTAATTTTGGTGACTAAAATTTGGTTTGATCTGGCCAAGTTTAATGTGGCCTTCTGCCCTGTTTCATCATTCGCAGTCATTCCAATAGGATGAGACCCAAAGTAGCAGGTTTAACCAGGGAAAATTCTATTTATTCAGCATTTACACTGCATGGCCAGCTAGGATATGCATGAAATCTCTGTAGCCTACACCAGGAGTGCTGAATTCACAGCCCAACCTTGCCAGGACAAATTATTTAGCCTAAAATCTCACTTTCAGCTGTTCTATTTCTTGTATGCCTTTGGGTATGGGCAGGGAAGGACTTGCCTACTGGATGAGCTCTTCTGACAGCAGCAGCCTGCTCCTACCTGCCTTTTTTTATTTCGCTTGTTGGGAGCTGGCAGGAGTTGGGTTTGGAGTAGTTAGAAGTAGTTATTTTTCTGGCAATATTACAGGGCTTAGTCGGCCTTGAAAAATTAAACCATAGCTCCTCTTCTCCACAGTTGAATTGCTTTCAGCTATTGCTGTCTTAGAGCTACTTGATTTGTATCATGACCTGTAAAACATGATTACTAGAGAGAACAGTCCAAAAGTTTGCTGTAAAAGCACAGCCTTTGGCTGCTCTGGCACATGCAGTGCATAGTAGCACTGATTTGTATGCTTGCAGCAAGTGCTTCCAGGATTTAGTGGCTTTCCAGCCTCTGGTTTGATAAATTTCAATGCACACATTACATTAAGTAACACTTTAGTGTAGAGCCTCTGCCTGCCCTAAGACGTTGTGTGGCAGCTCTGCAGTCTGTAAGAAGAGTGTTCAGTTCTAGCACACAGTTTCTGCCACAGAAGTGTCCTGAAAATGTTAGGAAGCTGATCAGCAAAGAAACAAAGATGAGAAATAGTCATCACAAGACCAGCAAGAAAATAAGCACTTTATGCCCTATGCCAGATGAGAAAGTGAGATAACACGGGTTTTGTCCTTAGGCTGTTGGAGGGATTGGTAAGGACTTAACTTCTGGTGGTAACTCCATAGGGATGAAGGAATGGGCCCTCTCTCACAAACATCAGACAGCACAAACAGGTCCTCTTGAAGACAAACTCTCTAAAGTTGAAGGGCTGAAAAGGACATTTTTCATATTCAAATTCTTAGTTTCCACAATGCTGCATTTTAAAATGACATTTCCCCCCTCCCCAATTGTGAGTTTGACCATATGCATTCCATAAGCTACTTCAGCTGCAAAATAGACCATAGTGATTCCATTAATTTCTTTCCCGTGAGGCTTTAATGACACTATTTAAATATAAATTCTATTTTATAGAATTAAAAGGAACAGCATATAACTCACCTTGAACACATTATCATCAGAATAAATCACTTGATTACTAAGGAGTTTCTCACATGGAAACTGAAATCACGTCATTATTAGGAAATCTGTGGTTCACAGTAACTGCACGTCATACTTTGCACCCAATAAACTTCTTAAACTATTCATCTTCTAACACAAAGCAGTAGAAGGCAAATTTGTATAAATCTCCCCACTTGAAACACACACACTCCATGCTTGAAAAAACACCTTCTAGCTTTAAGACCAAACATCCATGCAATGTTCCAAATATTGTCTTTGCTTTCCATAATTCACAACAAATACACTTCCACTCTTTCAAGGGCAAAATCATTACTGTAGAAATAATCTCCACAAGCTTTAGGCATGACTCAATGAAATTTAGTCATACAGATGCTGTTATCTTCCTGTAATCTTCTTACCACTGGTTATCACAAAAAAGAAAATAATCAGAGCAAAGGAAAAGAAAATAATCAAGTAGTCCCAGCATTAAGGTACCCATATATGGTTGTTTACAAGTTCGGGACTTTAACCATCAGATAATCCCTAGTGTTTTGAAGGAGGAAAGTCATGACAATGATAGGCCATATTTATTATCTTTAGGATGTGCTTAGAAGAGTTATTATGCATGTTTTAAGATATTTTTTTCCCTTGGAAAATCAACATTGGATGAAATCTGAGAAATACAGGCATGAGAAAAAAAATCTCCAACCATTTGTTGTGATTTATGTCTTGTAAGGAACTCCAAGCAATTTGGATTTGGCTCACTTAATGTAAGAAGGCAGGAAAACAGTACTTTAAGCATTTAAAAGTATGGGTCAGTTTTTAAAGATACACTCAATTCCACTTCAAATCTGCCTTGGACTGAGTCCATAAACAGTCAGCTCACTACTTTAAGAGGCCCCAAAACCTCATCAACATCCTGGTGAGAAAACAAGAAAAGCTATTGGATGATGTAAGTGATGACTGGTATCCCCCAAAAGTCTGCTCAGTATTTTTCAGTAAGACCTTTCAAGATGCCTCTACAATAATATGGTCAGGGTTTTTTTTCAGTATTGTAAAGTGAAATCATAGCTCTAAGAAAGAGCCTGTATGTTCTTGTCATTTGGTACCAGAAAGGCTGTCAAAACAACCTGCCTCTTCGTGGAGTTTTTTTGGGAGTGGGGGAGGTTGAGGGATTTTTGTTGTTCGAGCAGACATAAAAACCTACAATTGGCAAAACGTTAACTTCGTATAGAGAGCAGGCACTGCCTTGTGCAGAAGCCACTGGCGTGTCGGGCAGGGGAGAGGAGGGCTGCCTGGAGCGAGCCGTGCTGCGGCTGCCTCCCATCGGGAGGCATCAGGGAACGGATGGTCCTGGGGAACAGTGAAAAGCAGGCAAAAGTATGTGCAATCTGGGCTGTCAGGTGATGGAGTGACATTACAGTAATTGCCACTCTCTTCAGTAAAACATAATGATGGCAGGTTATCAAAACCAGGAGGCAAGTTATGGCTTTTTTAGAACAAAAATCTTCTTCTGTTCCTTTCAAACTGTGATATTTCTGTAAGTAAGACATCAGTGTTTCTACAGCTGTCTCAGATGCTCGAAACATTTACAAACTAGGAATAAATGTCTTTTACCCACAGCAGAAAGCTCTTGACAATCGTGTGTTGTTTTGTTTTGTTTTTTTTTTTCTATCATATACTGTGATCCTGATATGGCAGAATCTATTGTTATTAACGCTCAAAATCTTTCTGATTGTTTTTTAAAAGAGTATCTTTTTGAAGCATCTCTTCAGTGAATTGTTTTTCTTGGGTCCCACATATTTTCCAGGTTCACTGGGGAAAAAAAAAAAAAATCCTATTTTACATATACTTTTAAAATTTGTTTCAGGAATCTCATAGTGCTAAGTATGTATGTGTTCCAAAAGTATTTCTTATACAGGCAAAACTTACTTTTATATAAATGTAATTCACCTGTCTGCAGAATGCAAATTTGAAAAAGTGCACATCAAAGAAACTTCAAGAAGAGGAATTATGCAGCTTTTATATAATGCACATGCCTCTTCTTTCAATGCAGCTAGGTCTTCTCCTGTATAACAAAACTATTTGCAACTAACTTCTCTTCACAGAAATGTAGAGTATCTTAAATTAGCTTCTTCATTCCACTACAAATTGATCTTGAATCTGAGTGAAGGAGGGAATACATACAAAAGGGTAATACATATTTCATAGAATCTTAATGTATCTAAAAGTGGTTACTCCCCATTCATACTATTCTGTTTAAGCTAAACATAACCAAACCCTCCTTCTGATTTCATTCGTAGAATGTTCTATATAGCCTGACCTTTGCAG